TTTTTATTTTTAGCTTTCTTGTATCAGGTTGAGGAATGTCAAATATATGAGACATAAAAAATAATAATTTTACACGTATTTCATCAAACATCAATTCGTCTGCCTTCGAAGCAACATCTCGGGCAAATACTATAAATGTTCTTAGCTTATAATGCACTTTATAAGCCCTTCTGAATCATGTAGGGAAGTTCATAAGAACTGTGACGTATTACTTCTTGAAATCACGCTTTTGAATGAGACTGCAAAGAGAAGACTGCATGACGAAGCTTCTAAAATATGAAATGTTTTCGTTGATAAACATCCCCATGAAAACTTTTTTTCGTTGAGCAACATACACATACACTGTGATAACCTACTCATTTTTATGATCGAACTTTTTATGCGCAGCATCTGCCATGCGGTGGCATATAGCGATTCATCTGTGTGTTTGTGTGTGCGCGTGTGCGTGTATGTGTGCGTGTGTTTGTGTGTGTGTGTTTGTACGTGTGTTTTATAGATTATATAGTGAACTTAAAAAATCTTCTTGTGAAAGACCACTTGTTGAATTTCAACCAAACTTGGTAGGATTGATCCTTGGGTAAATGGCTTCCAAAGTTGTTCAAAAAATTTCATTCCATGCAGAAATCTGGTTGCCATGGCAACCAAAATGAATTATAAGAATAAATTTAAAATAATCTTCTTGTAAACCCAAAGGCCTAGAGCTTATACATTTTGCATAAGGCATTGTCTGGTAGACCACTACCAAGATTGTTCAAATTATAGCTCTTGGGTCAAAATACCTTCTTGTCTGCGGGTTCAAGGCTTAGAGGTTTGATATTTGGTATGTTTTATTATCTACAGGTACTCTACCAAAGTTGTACAAATTTTGCCTATAGTGTCAAAATCAGCCCCGCCCCGGGGATAATATGTCATTTAAGGTTTTCCTTATATGTATATAGTAAAAACTTTAAAACATTTCTTCTAGCAATTGACAAATGCTAGAGGTTAGATATTTTGCATGTAACATCGTGTAGTAAACTTTTACCAAGATTATTCAAATTATGGCCCTGGGGTCAAAATTGGCCCCGCGCCGGTGTCATTGATTTTTAATAAGTACATATAGTAAAAAATAAAAAAAAATATTACTGTCTGAAGGTTCAAGGCTTAGAGCTTTAATATTTGTTATATGATATCATCTCTACCAACGTTGTTCAAATTTTGCCTCTAGTGTCAAAATTAGCCCCGCCCCGGGAGTTATAGGTGTTCCTTATTTGTATACAGTAAAAACTTAAAAAAATCATCTTCTCTAAATTGACAAAGGCTAGAGGTTAGATATTTTGCATGAAACATTGTGTAGTGAACCTCTAGCAAGATTTTACAAATTATAGCCCTGGGGTAAAAATTGGCCCCACCCCCGGGTGTCATTGATTTTCACTATGTACATATAGTAAAATTTTTTAAAAAAACTTCTTGTCTGAAGGTACAAGGCTTAGAGCTTTGATATTTGGTATTAAATAATATCATCTAGGGGCCCTCTTCTAAAGTTGTTTTAATTATGCCCCTAGTGTTAAAATTGCCCAATTGAATTGACAAAGGCTATAGGTTAAATATTTGGCAGGAGACTTTGTGAAGTGAAACTCTATCAGGATTGTTCAAATTATAGCCCTGGGGTTACAATTGGCGCCGCCTGGGGGTCATTTGGATTTTCATTTTGTACATATAGTAAAACAAAATAAAAAAAGCTTTTTTGTCTGAAGGTACAAGAGCATAGAGCTTTGCTGTTTGCTTTAATAAATATCATTCTATAGGTCCTCTACCAAAAAGTTGTTTCAAATCTTTCCCTGGTGTCAAAATTGGCCAACCCGGGGGCATTTGACTTCTCCTTATGTAACATAGTAAAACAGAAACTAAAACAAATTTTTCTAAATTGGAGAAAGCTACAGTTTAGATATTTGACATGAAATCGTTGTTGGTGGACCTGTATCAAGATTGTTTTGAATCAAACCCTTGGGTCCAAACTTTGCCTTGCCCAAGGGAACACTGACCTACTTTCTTGTCCTTTGATGTACAGCAATGAAATTTGGACAATGTGCACAGTTTTAGTTGTAAAAATGAACTTTGATATCAGCTGACCTAGATTTTGACAAAGTGTCTTAACGTTGTTGTCCTTTGATGTACTGTCATGAAATTTAGGCCATGTGAAATATGACTTTCAGCACCAAATTTACTAGTCTCAGCTGCATAGATAGATCTTTTATTTGAATAACAATAGATTTAACCACAAACATTGACATGTGCTCTTTTGTTAACCAATATGTTGTGGTGAAATTGTTATTGTATCCACTTATCTGAAAATAAGGAAAATAAGAATTAGATAAGTCAGGGATCTATGCATGATGGCAATCTTCAGTTGTACAAAAATAAACACAAATTTTGTTCGTACATTACTATTTAGTGTTGTATTAATGCGGTAGCATAGCATTTTTCACAAATGCAATCTTTTTTTTTGTCTGTTCTTTTTAGCTCACCTTAGGTTGAACTTTTAGGATCGTTAAATGTCCATCGTCCGTCCATATTTGTTCTTAAACACTCTAGCGGTTACATTTTTTTTACCTCAATCTTCATCAAACTTTGTCAGGATGCTTTTCTATGAAATGGCTTAAATGAGTTTGAATATGAGTAATCTCGGATGAAAACTAGGTCACAAGAGCTAAAATTAGAAAATTTGTTAACACTCTAGTGGCTACTGTTTTGATCAAAATATCCTGAAAATTGGTCTGAATGTTTGTTTTGAAGATTTGTAGGTCAAATTTGAATATGAATCACCTGATGTCAAAAAGTAGATCACACTGCTAAAAAATGAGCAAATTTCTGAGTCACATTTTGACTCAATTATCATCAAACTTGGTCAGGATGCTTGGCTAGGTAATTGCTCAGATGAGTTCGAACATCCGGGGTCATCTCGGATACAAAACCAGGTCACAGAAGCTAAAAATAGAAAAAAAATGTGCCTACTGTTTTGATCCAAATATCCTGGAAATTGGTCTGAAAGTTTGTTTTAATGATTTCTAGGTCAACTTTTAATATGGGTCACCTGGGGTCAAAAACTAGATCCACACTGCTTTCAATATGAAAGATCATTTGTTAACATACAGTGGGGTCATTTTTTTGTCACTGTTATGAAACTTGGTCAGGATGCTTGTCTAGGTAATTGCTTGGATGTGTTCGATGGGTTAGGTGAGCGATCTAGGGCCATCTTAGCCCTATTTGTTTGATTTTTAGCTCAACTGAGCAGAAAGTGGTAAACGATGAGCTTTTGTGATCACTGCGTCCGTTGTCCGTCCTGTTGTTGAACAGGAATGTTCCCTGCAGGAAGCCCTTCAAAACTGTGCTAACATTTCCATTCCATGCTAACTTCTGGTTGCTATGGCATCCGAAAAAAAACGTACAAATATTCGTGTAAAAAACGGAAAGAGCTTGAGCTTAGATATTTGGCATGAAAAATCTTTTAGTAGATGTCTACCATGTTTCTAAAATAAAAGCCTTAGGGTCAAAATTGACCCTTCCCCAGGGGGTGGGGGTTCATTGATTTTCCTTATGCATATATAGTTAAAATTAAAAAAAAGCAAAAAAAAAAGCCTTGAAAATCCAAAAATGATAGAGCTTAGATATTTAACATGAAACATTAGACGTCTGCCAGGTTTGTTCAAATAAAATCCCCGGGGTCAAAAGTGGTCCCACCCCGTGGTTCATTGACTTGTCTTGCATATATGTACCAAAAAACAACAATAATAATAATTAATAATTCTTGTTATAACTGAAAGATCTAGAGCTTAAATATTTAGCATCCTATACGAAAATGACTTTAAGTGACTTATATGTTTCTTATTTGCAAAATACTTTACCTATAGGAGAACTATAATTCGTTATATATAAGTCACTTATTAATCACCTAAAAACCTATCTATGTTTGTTATAGGTAAATGCTACATATTAGTCACTTTTATGTTAGATATAAGTGAAAACGTAGAACTTTTGTGAGACTTTTTATTACTGAGTAAAAGCTGAAAAATTAGTTAGTCTTTCCTTTAACACAATGGGTATCAAAATACTCAGAATTTAAAATACTATAATCTTAGATTTAATCACAAACAATTAAGATTTTTTTTTAAGTGTTGCTTATTAATTTTTGAATACAGCTGGGTTTTTTTAATAAGATAATAGGAAAAATGATTATCAATTAAGTATAATACCTGTACAAAATGTTGGCCCAGATTCGGTGAGAATTGGGACAGAAATGGCATTGAATCAGTGATTTCTTGGCGACCATGGACAGAAATGAAATTCATGTCATTTTTTTCTCATAAGGAAAATATTTCACATAAAAATCACACGAGGCATAATGTTACTCTTTTTTTTCTTTCGTTTTTGTTTTTTTTTTTACTTAAAACAGACATTAAAATCTATATGATTTTACCTACTGTACTTCTTACAGACCTAATTTTGCTAAAAGAAAAAAGAAAAAGAGGTGTAATTTTTGAATTTACAAGTGTAATTTTTAAGACAATTATACCTGTATTTTAGATATTAAAACAATAAAAAAACAGTGCTTGAAATAAACCCATATATATTGCCCTTTTAATCTATTTAAAATCTAAGAACCAACATGCCTGTATTTGCTTATATTTGATTATTTTTGGAAAAGATAACATTTCCTATGCAGAACTTGTAAAAAAGGACATTGCATTTTCTTTTTCAAAATGTATAATGACTTTAAATTTACATATCTAGTAGTTCTTTGATTTTTTCACATTCAATGATTGTAAGATAATAATGATGAGTGCTTTGATTTTTGGATTAACCCTGTTTTACATAATATTGGAGCTGTCCAGGTACACAGTTGTAAGTCGGAGACTTTTAGGTTAGAAAGCTGGTGTAAAACACAGAGGATCAACTTGATGTTTTAAGCAATTTTAGAGATAGTGTTTTGTTTAAGATGTTAAAGTATAATTATGGTAAATATGAATGACAAGAAGAATCACCTTATGCAAGAAGATATACAACAGAATCAGGTAAATACCTTTGAGTTGCATTTATGCAGATATAGATTATAGATTAAACAATCAAAGTAAGATAGCAGCAAACTAAAATTTGTAACTTGAGAGATCAATGCTGTTTTTATATTCTTAGCTTCATACATTAGATTTACTTATACATGAAACTGATTTAAATCTAAATTAAATAGTCAAATTAATTTGTAAGATGATTTGAATTATTAGAACTAAATAATCAGTAGTTTTATGCAGCTGAATAAGACGGGGTCATCATACTAGTTATCATTTTTTTTATTTTATTGCTGTTTTCAATGGAAAAATCTGATATTACATTTTACATACATTGCAGCCTAGTGGAACAAGTTCTTACTTTGAGATGCCAGGTGAATAATGATATGCAGTATTGAGCCTGAAAAGGTATATTTTTTAATTTCTATACTTACTGTTCTAAATCTTTCCTAGAAAAAAAAGCATAATAAAAATTAAAGTTGTTGCAAATAGTGCAGTGAATCAATTTTTATAGAGACTTTAAGCAATTCTTAAACAACATTGGTGATTTGTGCACTAAAATGAGATACAATGTAACTTAGTATATTTGTATATGCATAAGCATAAATAGGTAATATAGTTTGATGATATTAAAAAAATATGAATATAACTGCATATACAATAGTACACAATTTATTCCCACATCTTTTTTATACCCCCGAAACGAAGTTGGGGGGGGGGGGTATATAGGAGTCACTCGGTGGCCGGTCGGTTGGTCCAGCGGTCCGTTGCATTTTCCTTGTCCGGAGCATAACTTGAAGACTAATGTTTGGAATTCAATACATCTTCATACAATGATCAAGCACATTAAGAGGAAGTGCAGTGTATAAAAACCATAACTTTATCTTGACTAATTACAGAGTTATTGCCCTTTGTTACTTTTCCTTGTCCGGAGCATAACTTGAAAATTACTGGTTGGAATTCAAAACAACTTCATACAATGGTCAAGCACAATAAGGGGAAGTAAATTGCAGTGCACAAGAACCATAACTCTATCTTAAGTAATAACAGAGTTATTGCTCTTTGTTTCTTTTTCCATAGCTTTCTTTTGTCTGGACCATAACTCGAAGACTAATGGTTGGAATTCAATATAACTTCATACAATGGTCAAGCACATAGAGAGAAAGTGCAGTGCACAAGAACCATAACTCCATATAGACTAATTACAGAGTTATTGCCTTTGTTTCTTTCCCTTTTCCGGAGCATAACTTGAAAACTACTGGTTGGAATGCAAAAGAACTTCATACAATGGTCAAGCACAATAAGCGAAGTGCAGTGCACAAGAACCATAACTTTATCTAAACTAATTACAGAGTTATTGCCCTTTGTTACTTTTCCATTGCTTTTTTTGTCCGGAGCATAACTTGAAGACTTATTGTTGGAATTCAATACAACTTCATACAATGACCAAGCACATTTAGAGGAAGTGCAGTGCACAAGAACCATAACTCAATCTCGGCTAATAACAGAGTTATTGCCCTTTGTTACTTTTCCTTGTCCGGAGCATAACTTGAAAACTACTAGTTTGAATTCAATACAACTTCATACAGTCAACAAGCACATTAAGAGGAAGTACAGTGCACAAGCACCATAACTCTATCTTGACATATTACAGAGTTATTGCCCTTTGATACTTTTCCTTGTCCAGAGCATAACTTGAAAAGTACTTGATGGAATTCAAAACAACTTAATATAATGGTCAAGCACAATAAGAGGAAGTGCAGTGCACAAGAACCATAACTTTGTCCAGAGTAATTATAGAGTTATTGCCCTTTGTTACTTTTCCATTGCTTTATTCTTGTCCAGAGCATAACTTGAAAACTACTTGTTTGAATTCAAACAATTTCTTACTATGGTCAAGTATATTGAGGGGAAGCGCATTGCACAAAAACCATAACACTTCCTTGACTCATTTTAGGGTTTTTGCCCTGTGCTAGTTTTTATTGTACAGTGCATAACTTGAAAATTAATGGTTGGAATTCAATGAAGCTTCATACAATGGCCAAGGGCAGTGAGATGAAATGCAGTGCACAATAAGACCATAACATTTTGGACAAATTACAATTATTTCCCTTTGTTTCTTTTTTGTCCAGTGCATTACTTGAAAATTAGTTGTTAGAATTAAATACAACTTGATACAATGGTCAAGGGCAATAGGAGGAAATGCATTGTACAATAACTATTACTCCATCTTCAGTATTTGTAGAGTTATTGCCCTTTGTTCCTATTCCTTGTCCGGTGCATAACTCAAAAACTAATGTTTAGAATTCAATGCAACTTCATACAATGGTCAAGCGCATTGAGAGGAAGTGCAGTGCTCAAGAAGTGTAACTCTTTCTGGACTTATTACAGAGTAATTCAATAAAACTTTATCAATGGTCAACCACATTAAAAGGAAATGCAACATACAAGAACTACAACTATCTTTAATTGCCCACAACCATAACTCTATTTCAATTATTTTGCAATGTATTCTGTTACTAGTAACTTCCTCATTTCCGAAGCAGTCTTGCGAGGGTATTAATCACATTTAGTGATAGTTCTAGTTTAATTAATTATTAATTTTATCTTTAAAGGTGAACACAGCTACATGAAGTTCTCCGAGGAAACAGAAGCAGAGGGCTGAAACAGACGTCTATAAAAAGAAAAGTAGTTTAAATAATCAGAAACATTAAAAAAAATGATTTGAACAGTTCCTCACTGACAGACATCCAGCAAAATAAGTGTTTGATTCTAAGAAAACCAGTACCAACAAAGATTTCCTGCTAGAAATAAAATTGTTTCTGTAATAGTGTATGTAAGATGATCTATTCTGTGTAATGATCTGAAGTATATGTATGATTATTAATATGTTGAATTTTGTTAATTTATATGACTAAGAATATAAATAATTAAACATTTTTGAAATTGAATAACTCAACTTTAATTTTCTTTCTAGCTTTTTTGACATCAAGCAACATATATACATTTGAAATACATATACTTGACTTGTATGTTAATTGACTAAGTGAAATATAATTTTCATATAAAATAGATAAAATAGCCTACGAGTGACTTATAAGTGAATTCTGTGAAGGGATGAAATATCTTCTGGTGGATGTGCACCACTTATGTTTAAATAAAATCACTGAGTCAAAATTGCCCAGCCCCAAGGGTCATTGATTATGCTTATATGTTTATATGTTAAAAAAGAGATAAATCAGTTTGTAAGAAACGATGAAGCTGAGGTGTCTTTTCTGGTAATTATCTTTCATTAGATACATTGTGTTATATATGTTAATGCTATTATAACTGCAGTTAAAGGCGGTAAAGTCTGAGTAATCCAACAGCTTAGGACTTTGTCATTTGTAGGAGTACTCTGGGAGGTAATTCACTAAAGTCCAGAATTTGTTGACTGTAATGCATAGGTGATCTATTCACCGACATTTTTGTTTTACCTCATACTTTATGAGAAAAACAATATTACGTTTGCAGAAGATGCAGGTGTAGACAAATATATCAGCATCATACAAGCGGTTGATACTCGACAGTACAAAACTACTGTACATAGGTGGAGCTTAACATGTAAAAGTACCCTCACTCTCATTTGAGTAATACTAACAGAACTTTTAACTAAAACTCATATTTATATAATTATATTGAATTCCTTTGAAGGAAAACGTAATTATGATTTCAGTGTGAAAAGTAATTCTAAAGGAGTCTTTTGTGTCTTTCCAGATAAACCTTTGCACCAGAGGGTGTTAGAAAGGTCATTACCATACCTTGTTGATAAGCTTAACCCACATCCGTTGCTGGACTATTTAGTAGCAGAAGAGGTATTACCACAAAGCATTGCCAGTGATATCAAAGTAAGAAAGAGAATTCTGCATATTATATATACTTTCAATTTGTCATGTTCAATACAGATAATTAATTGAAATAATTTTCCATAGATATCCCATTTTTACTTTGCATGTATAACAATTGAAGAAATAACTTTACAAGAGTTTCATGACATATTTCATTAGTAGCACTTTGAAAAAAAGTTGCAATCACACACATTGTATATAAATGTCACATTACTTTGTAAACTTAGTTGTATAATCGTATGACACCTTATCGGTTAAATATATGTTGGCAGTCAACATTCATCGAAGAAACAAGCTCTTACTGACGCAAGACATGACACTTGCAACTTTTGATTTCTTAGCAAGTGTAGGTCATTTGCATATTGTATTTAAGATAATGAAATAATGTAAATGATATTAACACAACTGAAGGCGTTATAAATTTCCTTAGCATGTCCATACTACTGTTATGCCACGCACAATACTCTTGTTATTTAGAACAAAATAATGGTTCTGTTGGATCTTGACGTTAGTAAGGCTTGAGGGTGTAAGGAGTGTTGCACATTTCTATAATACTTCATTGAAACGGGTCTGCAATTTTCATGCAATATTGTTATTTTCAATGCTTCTGTGGGATCAACCAGATTTAAGAACTTAGTATCTAGATCGACTACACGAAGTACATGGAGAGCTGTCCTACTCGTGGCGGCGTCCGCGTCCAGATTTCAGATGTAAGTTTTGGTGTAGTAACATATTTTTCACTATTACCATTTATTAAGGTATCAACTTCAAACTTCAAATATTTGTTTTTTATCATCCACAATACTAATGTGACAAGGTTCATAAATCTTACCACCAATATTTGCAATTTTTTCTCCCCTTGAAATTTCATTGGAAATTTATTTTTACTGTTTTACTGTGATTTCTTTATTTCTTAAGGGAACAACTTCTTTAGTTTTAAAGGTATCTACCTCAAACTTCAAAAATATATATTTCCTATCATTACCCACATGTTGTATGACAAGGTTCATAAATCTAGCATGACTATTTTCAGAATAATTCCCGCTTGAATATTGGAATTGATATTAACAAATGTTATTTGAAAGAATTTCCAGCATATTTTGTTAAACCCCCTGGCGTCTGTCCGTCCGTTAGCAATTTGGTTTCCGGAGCATAACTTAAGTTCCATTTGGCCCAAAATATTCAAACTTCATAGGATGATTGTCTATATCAGGTAGAAGACCCCTGTTGATTTTGGGGCCATACGGTCAAAGGTCAAGGCCACTTTTACCTTAAAACTGAAAACAGTTTGCGGAACATAACCTAAGTTCCATTTGGCCCAAAGTGTTAAAACTTCATAGTATGATTGTCCATATTTGGTAGTAGACCCCCAATGATTTTGGGGTCACAAGGTCTAAGGTCAAGGTCACTATTACCTCAAAACTTAAAACAGTTTCCCGAGCATAACTTAAGTTTCATTTGGCCCACAGTGTTCAAACTTAATAGTATGATTGGCCATATTGAGTAGAAGACCCCTATCGATATTGGGGTCACAAGGTCAAAGGTCAATGTCACTTTTACCTTAAAACTGAAAACAGAGCATAAGTTAAGTTCCATTTGGCCCACAATTTTCAAAGTTCATTGCAGGATTGTTATTTGAAGGAGGTAATACTTTATTTAATTCCCATATCGTATAAATGCTTCATCTTTACTCAAAAAATCATTTTCGGGCATATAATGCTCCACCTAGCGGTGCTCTTGTTTTACAATAACTTTCTTGTCATGTGGGTAAGAGTTATCAAACGAAAGCTCCTGTGTTCCAAGAACTATTTCATTTCATTTTTAGCTTAACTATACAAAGTATATGGAGAGCTGCCCAACTTGCCCCGGCGTCGGCGTCCGTGTTCGCTTCCAGATATCAGATTAAAGTTTTGGTGCAGTAAAATGTTTTTCACTATATTTTTGTCATTTCTTAAGGTATCAACTTCAAACTTCAAATTTATGTTCCTTATCATTAACAACATCTTATGTGACAAGGTTCATAACTCTAGCACCAATATTTCAAATTTATCTCCCCTTGAACTTAGAATTTTCCTTTAAAAATACTATTTTGTACTGTAACTATTTAATTTCTAAGGGGATCAACTTCAACCGCATCTTATGTGACAAATTTCATAGCTCTAGCACCAATATTTTCAGATTTATCTTCCCTTGAACTTAGAATTTTCCTTAAAAATATTATTTTTGAATATTACTTATTTATTTCTTAAGGGATCAAATTCATACTTCAAATATATGTACCTTATCATTAACCAAATGTTATGTGACATGGTTCATAACTCTAGCACCAATATTGCAAGAATTATCTCCCCATCAACTTAGATTTTTTTACTTGAAAAATGTAATATTTTACTATAACAATTTTGTCCGCCGCCTTTTCGAAGAAAAAAGGGGGATATAGTAAAAGGCTCTGTCATTCTGTCCGTCCTTGACACTTTCGTGTCCTGTCCATAATTTTGTCATTTATCAATGGAATCTGAAATAACTTGGCATAAATGTTTGTTATAATAAGACAAAATGTCATGCGCAACATCCAGAACCCTTCGTCCAAGGTCAAGGTCGCATTTGCTCATTCAAGGTCAACATGGTCTATTTGAGGGTATATGTCGTGTCCAGTCAATAACTTTCTTATCTTTGAAGAGATATTTTGTAAATACTTTCCAAAATTGTTTACACTAATGAGACAATGTGTCATGTGCAACAACTGGTCACCTACCTCCAAGGTCAAGGTCACAGTTGCAGGTCAAAGATTAACATAGTCTGTTATAGGGTATATTTTGTGGCCGGTCCATAATTTTTTCATAGATCGAAAGATTTTGTAAATACTTGCCACAAATTGTCACTATAATAAGACAATGTGTCATGCACAACACTTGCATCCCTATCTCCAGGGTCAAGGTCACACTTGGAGGTCAAAGATTAACACAGTCTGTTATAGGGTATATTTTGTGTCCGGTCCATAACTTTTTCATAGATTGATTTTTTTTAAATACTTGCCACAAATAGTCACTATAATAAGACAATGTGTCATGCACAACACCTGCAATCTTACCTCCTAGTTCAAAGTCACAAGTAGAGGTCAAAAATTAACATAGTCTGTTTTAAAGTATATTTTGTGTCCGATCAAGAACTTTTAACAGTCTGTTATATGGTATATTTTGTGTCCTGTCCATAACTTCTTCATAGATCTAGGGATTTTGAGAATACTTGGCACAATTAGTCACAATGATAAGATGATATGTCATATGTAACACCTGTGTCCCTACCTCCAAGGTCAAGTTCACATTTAGAGGTCAAATATTTACATAGTCAGTTATAGGATATATTTAGTGTCCGATCTATAACTTCTTCATATTTTAAGGAATTTTGAAAATACTTGGCACAAATAGTTACAATAATTAGACGATATGTCATGCATACCCTACTGCCAAGGTCAAGGTCACGCTTAGAGGTAAAAGATTTATATGATAAATTTTTAAATTCCGTGTTTCATTTTTGTGCCCCCACTTTAGTGGCGGGCATTTAGATTTACCCTTGTCCGTCCGTCTTTCCGTCCGTTCACTTTTGTGTCGCATGTAACTCAAAAAGTATTTGACCGAGAGTCATGAAACTTAACAGGATTGTTGATCAGCAATAGTAATTGTGCACCTGGGTATTTTCGTCTGGATAATTTTAGTATTTTTAGAGTAATTGCCCTTGACTTAGTAAAAGTTTGCAATTTTTAACTTGTGTCGCATGTAACTCAAAAAGTATTTGACCTAGAGTCATGAAACTTTACAGGAATGTTGATCAGCATGTGTACTTGTGCACCTAGGTATTTTTGTCTGGATAGTTTTAGTATTTTTAGAGTTATTGCCCTTGATTTAGTAAAATTTTGCAATTTTCAACTTGTGTCGCATGTAACTCAAAAGGTGTTTGATCTAGAGTCATGAAACTTTACAGGAATGTTGATCAGCATGTGTAGTTGTGCACCTGGGTATTTTCGTGTGGATTTATTTAGTATTTTTAGAGTTATTGCCCATGACTTAGATTTTTTTTTGCAATTTTCAACTTGTGTCGCATTTGACTCAAAGAGGATTTGACATAGAGTCATTAAACCTTACGGGAAGGTTGCTCAGCATATTCAGTTTTGCACCTGGGGTTTCGCTTAAGGATAAATCCAGTATTTGTATTAGAGTTATTTCCTTTTACTTAGTAAAAACCTTTTCATTATGTTGTTATTTGTTCCTTGAGTGCTTGAGTTAGAATCGACCAACTTTACATGAATAATACTCAACATCACTAAATTACAGGAATAATGATTCACATCACTGTGAAGCTATGAACCTGGGATTTGCTTGTGGATTTTTTAGCTCGACGTTTTTATATATACAAAATATATAGACAAAACTAATGTGACAAGACAGACCGATTAAATTTATAAAAAGGAAACATTTAGATTTTGTTCAAACATTCTTTGTTTGCTTTGAGAGAAAGTAAAAATTCGAGCGTTGCCCCCGCCCGACTGTGGCTCTTGTTTCAGTTGTGTAAGAGTTATTGCCCTTGACTTACAGTAGTATAAATTTGCAATTTTTAACTTGTTCATGCATAGCTCAAAACGTATTGTAGGCCTTAAAGTTTACAAGAATGTTGGTCAGCATGTGTACTTACGCACCTTGGGGTTTGCTTGTGGATTTATTTAGTATTTGTAAAGTATTTTCCCTTTACTAAGTAAAAGATTTTAGTTTTCAAAAAATACTTGACATAGAGTCATAAGATTGACAGAACAGTGGCGCGGTGGGGGCACCCGTGTGATATGGACACATTTCTAGTTTTACTTTAATCAATTTATTGTTGCATTTGCAGATCTAGCATTGATCATAAGTTTGAACTGAAAGTCCTGATATCCATACCTCAATCTTTTGAAATAGAACAATTTTATGCTGTGTATAAAAATTCCCCGAGGCGGGGAACGTTGGTAATTCTGTTACAAATTCTTGTTAGTTTTAAAGGTCTCTACCTCAAACTTCAAATACTTATTTTTATCATCAAGTACATTTTATGTGAAAAGGTTCATAACTCTTGAAGTAATATTTACAGATTCATCTCTCTTTGAACTTAGGATTTTCTTTAAGAAATATTATAACTTCTTTACTTTTTAGCTCGACTATACGAAGTATATTTAGAGCTGTCCTACTCGCCCCGGCGTCGGCGTCCGCGCCCAGATTTCAGATTAAAGTTTTGGTACAGTACAGTAAAATATTTTCATTATAACTTTTTCATTTCTGAGGGTATCAACTTCAAACTTCAAATATATGATTCTTATCATCAACCACATCTTTTGTGACAAGGTTCATAACTCTAGCACCAATATCTTTAGATTTATCTACCCTTAAACTAGAATTTTCCTTAAAAAATATTTTTTACTGTACCTTTTTTATTACTTAAGGGATCAACTTCATACTTCAAATATATGTTCTTTATCATTAATCATATCTTATGTGACAAGGTTCATAACTCTAGTACCATTGTTGCAAGAATTATCTTCTTGTCAACTCAGATTTTTTACTTAAAAATGTTATATTTTACTATCTTTAGTAACTTCTTTAGTTTTAAAGATACCTACCTCATAATTCAAATACATATTCCTTTACATCAACCATATCTTATGTGACCATGTTTATAACTATTGAAGCAATAGTTTCAGATTTTTCTCCCTTTGAACTTAGAAATTTCTTAAAGAAATATTATAACTTCTTTACTTTTTAAGGTATCTACTTCAAATATATATTCCTTATCATTACAAACATGTTGTGTGACAAGGTCCATAATCTAGTGTGACTTTTTTTTAGAAAGTTTTCACCTTGAACTTGGAATTTATGTTAACAATAATAATTTCTTGTCATAAGAAGAAATATATTTATATAATAATTGATTTTTCTTTTATAGTTTTGTATTATTTACTGTGCCCACTATTTGATTAGTCGAGCTTAGCTGTCTCCTGTGACATCATTTGTTTACTGTTACTTCTTTATTTCATAAGGTATCTACTTCATACTTCAATTATATGTTCCTTATCATCAACTACATCTTATGTGACAAGGTTCATAACTCTAGCACAAATATGTATAGCTTTATCACCCCTTGAAGTTAGAATTTTCCTTAAATTGTTTTTTTACTGCTACTTCCTTATTTTTTAAGGGATCAACTTCATACTTCAAATATATGTTCCTTATTATTAACCACATCATATGTGACAAGGTTCATAACTCTAGCACCAAAATTGAAAGAATTATCTCCCCATAAACTTAGATGTTTTTACTTGAAAATTGTTTTTTTACGATAAATTCTTTAGTTTTAAAGGTGTCTACTTCAAACTTCAAATATTTATTCCTTATCATCAATTTTATCTTATAAGGTTTATAACTCTTGAAGCAATATTTTAAGATTCATTTCTCTTTGCACTTAGGATTTTCTTTAAGAAATATTATAATTTCTTAACTTCATACGGTTTCTACTTCAAACTTTAAATATGTTTATTATCATTACACACATGTTGTGTGACCAGGGTCATAACTCTTTATGTAAACAAATGTAAATTTTTTACTATAACTTTATACATAATTATGCATAATTGATTTTTCTTTCAATAGTTTGTTTCCTTACTGCGTCCAGTCCAGTCGAGCTTTGCTGTCTCCTGTGACAGCTCTTGTTGAACTTAAAATATTTCATTTGTAAATTTGTATGGCATATTATAATCGCACCGTCTGTCTGTGCGACCCGACTTCATTCGTCTCCGGACTGTAACTTTGTCATGCATAGAGGGATTTTGAAATAGCTTAGCACAAATGTCTGCTACATGTTCAAGAACCACGTCCCTACCTCCAAGGTCACACTTACATTTTGAAGTTTCACATCACAAATAGAGTTAATAGGTACACATATTCTGGACTGTTACTTTGTCATTCATCAAAGGATTTAAAAATAACTAGATATGAATGTCGACCACATCAAGACGACGTGTCGCGTCCAAGAATTAAGTTCCTACCTCAAAGGTCAAGGTCCGCTACCATTTTAAAGTTTATCATGATCACAATAAGAGTAAGTAGGTACACAAAATAGTGTCCGGGCTGTAACTTTATCATGCATTGTAAAAATTTAAATGACTATGCAATAAGACGACATGTCGTGTTCAAAGGTCAAGGTCACACCAACATTTTAAAATTTCACTTTATCACAATAAGAGTTTGTAGTTACACTTATTTGTGTCCGGGCTGTAACTTTGTCATGCATCAAAGAATTTTAATATAACTTGGCATAAATGTCTACCACATCAAGTCAACTTGTCGCGTGTAAGAATCACGTACCTACCTCAAAGGTCAAGGTCACACTACCATTTTAAAGTTCACTTCACCACAATTAGAGTTTATAGATACACACATTCGTGTTTGGTCTGTAACTTTGTCATGCATTGAAAATTTTTAAGTAACATAAATGTATGCATAAATGTCAACCACATGAAGCCACATTAAGACGACATGTCCAGTTCAAGACCCCTGTCCCTACCTTCAAAGTCAAGGTCATATTTTTTAGTTTGAAGGTCCTCATTCTCACGAGAAGAGCTTGAAGATACACACTCATGTCCAGACTGTAACTTTGTCATGCATGGAAGGATTTTAAAGTAACTTGGCACAAATGTCTACCACATAAAGATGATGTGTCGTGGTTTGAAAGCTCGTGTCTGTCTGTCAGTCTTCATTTACAAAACACTCATGTCCAGACTGTAACTTTGTCCTCCATTGAAGGATTTTGCAACAAAAAAAAAAACAACTATGCACAAATGTCTATCATATGACAATGTTGTATCGCGTCCAAGAAACACGTCCCTTTTCAAAGGTCACTGTCACACATATTTTTAAGGTTCACAGTATAACACTTGGAGATTATAGGTACACACACGATTGTGTGCGGACTTTAATTTTGACATGCATCGAAGGATTTTAAAATTACTTAGAACAAATGTCTACCACATCAAGATGACGTGTTGTGTGTAAGACCATTGTTCCTACCTCCAAGGTGTTAAGTTTGCTAAAAATAGCACTTCGTTACAAGAATTATATTAAGCAATTAGTTACTTTCATTCTCTTTTCTGCTTAATAAACCTTTTCGGGGACATTCGTCACTAACGTGACAGCTTTTGTCTAGTATGATTTTTGTTATTATAAATGGTATCTACTAGCTAGACTTAAGAAAATTAGTTGTTCTTTGCAATTACTTACATCATGCAGAACAAGGTTCCTAACTCTGGAATCTTTTTTCAAGAGCTATTTCCTCTTTAAACTTACATAGCTCAATCAAACCGAGCCTGCATCAAGTTTCAATTTGCCGTGTTAAAGCTTTCTTTAGGGATTCTAATTTCTCTCTATTTTATAATTTCACTTTGTGTTTTTGAAGGAATTACTTCAGATTTTAAATTGCTGTCTTTTCCATAAAGGTATAGAAATTTCTATTTAACATTTATTGACAAGGTCATATGCAAATTATGTTGGGCCAAATATAGAATTTAAGTGCTTCTTAATACTGATACAGAGAGATATTTATGTCATAATTGATTTTTCTTTCATAGTTTTGTCTTCAATGCTGTGTCCAGTATTTAATTGGTCGAGCTTCGCTGTTTCCTTTGACAGCTCTTGTTAAAATGGTATTTCAACTTAGTTTACTTTACACAAATAATACTTGAACAAATTGATTATAGTTTGAAACTGGTATAACTTTTCGTTTAGGAAAAACGTAAAATATCTGATGTTATAACGGAACTTATACATTGTATCAAAACAAGAGATGAATCCTTATTCCTTACTGTTAAGGAAGGTTTGAAGTCAACAGGACAGGGCGAGCTAGCGGAAAAACTTAATGCCATAGAAACAGACCTTAATATTGAGATAAAAGGTACATAGAAGTTTAAAATTTCTTAATATTTAGTTTTATATGAAGTTGTTTTTATCTTTAAAGAATTTGTAACATTGTCATATTGGTAATTAATTTTTTATATTCCTTTAAATTACCTACATTGTAATATTGAATGTCTTATATTTCTCAACAATACAACCGTATGTAATCAGATAGTCCTTAATTTCAAAATGAACCCGATTCTAATGCTCACATATATTACTCATTTTTAAAAGCTCAACTTTTCAAAAACTGAATAAATTGTAATGACTTTCCCTGCGGCGGCGAAGTTACTGTTGATTTTTATTTTAGGTTAAAGTTTTCAAAGATGTTAAGTTTCAACGTACAATCCTCATTTAATTGCTTATAATTCTTAAAGGAATGTAACCCTAAAGGTCTTTTGTATGTTCAATATTGCTCTCTCACAGTGAAGCTACAGCTAAATAATGTATTGTGAAACATTAACTAGTTTACTTCTATCAAGATGTTTAAATAAAAGCCCTAAGAGCAAACTTTGCTTTGCCCAAGGGGGACATGTGTATATATAAAACCCTGCTATTGGGAGTAAAAATTCTCCTGACCACGGTGTCAGCAGTTTAATATGGGAAAAGCTTTTAAGCAATCTAGCTTTCGATATATGAACAATTAACAGTCGTTGTAACTTATATTAACAGGAGAGTAGGTCCTGAAAACTTTGAAAGTATACAGAATTTCTTTAAAAATTTACATTATATACCAACACTATTTTGTCCTCAGATGAGCGACTTGAGGCTTATGATTTGAGCCCATTTTATTAAATTTCGGCCACTGTCTTCTCTTTTAGGGCCCACACATTCTTTTAATTGGGGGCCATATGCCGCTTTTCATGGATTTGCACAATTGTGTCACATGGAAGGCTCCATGATGACTGGCATATGAACACATCTGTGGATGTTTGTAGATTCAAAATATCACCATTTTCTTGTTTAAATGTTGAATTCTGCTTAAGCGAAGCGGGTGCTATGGGACATGGACGGTAACTTGCACTTTCCAGTGCCGTCCATGAACATGCTCAATCAAACCGAGCCTGCAACATTTTCAATTTTTTCGTGTTGGGCTTTCTTTGGGGATTTTGTTTTTTTCTTTATTATGGCCCATCTGTGAATTTTATATTTTCCAAGTTTACTCAAAAGTATTATAGAAATTTATTTCAAACATGACGTGCTTTTCAAACAGTTTTGCAGAATTATTTCCCTTAACTGCTTTGAATAATTTCATTTGGTACTGTCAAAATTAGAGCTCGCTGCTCATCGAATAGATCTTGATAAAAAATGCTCTAAAATATATTACAGATGTCAGGCTCCATATGCATAAAACGTTAAGTATATCTTATATATAAAAATGTTATGAACTGATGAATGTGAGACTTTAATTTTGTCCAAAAAATAGAATTTAGAACGAAAAGTTTTATATTTACTGAATGTTATATTTTAGCGGACCAGACATCAGCTGACTCTGATTCAGAATTTTCTGATGCGCCAGGTAAGCAATGATTCTTTTTCTCTCCGACTATAGATCTAAAGAAATAAAAACTTTCAAAATAAGATATTTACATAACAATATGACAATTACTCTTTTAATATACGAACCCCATTACAATATGACAATTTCCCCATTAAGACAAAATAAAATAAATGAAAGGTATAACCTTGCAATATTTCTTAATTTAACGAAGAAAAAAATATTGAAGCGAAGCGTATGAATTAATGACGAAAGTTATAAGGCCCGTTTAAGGTAAGTATTAGCGGGTGAATCAGACTGTTTGGCAACAACTAATGAAAAGAAACAATTGAGAACAAAGTTGAATGATTTGAATCATTTTCATTATCATGCATAACTTGGTACTTTTCATACCATTTATATGTTTTATATATCAACTGAAAAAAAAAACAGTATTTCATCATCAATATTTATATTCTCTTCTTTAATACATCATCATCGTTATCATTTCAGACCATGTAGAGCCAATAGAAAAAGATTCTAATATTGACAGAATTATTCAAAAGTTTGGCTTAGAAAATAAAATGGATCAAAAAATACAAGTATCAGACGTGGTTCAATTAGACGTTTTTGAAAACGCAGACAAACAAAAAAATGATCAAGATTTACCGTTTATTTTTCTACAGCATATATTGTCTGGTAACAGTGGTGCATTTAACTACAAATCCTATCTACCTGGTGATGGTAATGCTACAAAAGGATCCGTGAACTCTTTATTTGCACCTGATGAAGCTAATGATGTTAGTCCATTAGATTTATTTGTGTTAGTGTATCAATGTTGTGATCCTTTACTTCAACAACTTTTGTTTCAGAAACTTTACCTCGCAAAAATTGCACTTCCTCTTTTGTATAGTAAATATCCGTCTTCTAGGAAAATATTGTCAAAATGGCCTTTACGTTTTCTTCTTACTGAAACTAAAATGAACAGGGAAAACCAATTGAGGGAAGTTGAAGTACTCGATTTACCCTGTTATAACGTTACTTTTACACGTTTTGGGAGGCCTAATTTTTCCAAATCAAATCTTATAAATAACCTTTTATGTGATCATGGAACTAACACCTTTTTTCACAAAGACTGCCCTTTAGGTATGACTTCTAGATATGCATCACATGGATATGTTGAAATGTTTTTTGTCCCATATGTAGACAGTGGAAGTAGTAAATTCGATCAGTCAATGATGTTTATGAATGCAAGAGGTGACTTTAATACAGAAAAAAATTTCAGTGTCAGCGATCGCGATTTCATCAATTCTGTTACAGATACTGTTGTTGTTATCCTTGATTTAATGACTTTTTTAAGCCATACAACATCATTAGGAGAACAAATACAGCGTTTTTCTTCCGTTTTGTTACTCTTTGTCGGTGAAATAAGAGTAAATGATGACACAAAAACAAAATTAAAGGACTTTGAAACGAATGTCATAAATCATAGCAAATTGAATTTACACATAATTGCAACTCACACAGGTATGAAGGAGAGAAATTCAACAGATATAGTTGCAGATGTTAAGTTTGCCATATGCAAATTTGTACATGAAAAAGAATTTGATTTAAAAACATTTGGTTCAAGAGTTGGAAAGTCTATAAAAACTGACGAAACATCTTGTTGCAAGGAAGCCTATCAATCAGCTAAGTTGTTGATTGCAGAAATCGGGAAAATATCGCCAGAAACACACATAATTGAGAAGGTTACACCGGTACAAAGTAAAATTACAAAATTGCTAGGTACACTTATTAAAGACAGTTACAGTAATAGTTCGCTATGTGCATTTGATGATCAAACAAAGAAAATACCACAAGCAAGGCTATTAAAAAGAGAGCAAATAACATCGGTGATAAAAATCTTCAGCAAATCACTGGTACAGAATAGAAACCGCTGTTCTTTTCTTCAGCTGTATTTGTCTTCTTTAAAGCTACTGCTTGAAAGAAGAAAACGATTGGCACCTCAAAATTTGTTTGATATGTCAAAAACATTCGATACAGAAGAAAATGCATTTTTAGAGATCGAACATCTTTTCCGTGAAATTGCTCATATTTGCGACTCTATTGAAATATCTGGGACAAGCAGTGAAAGCATTGATTTCCCTCACGTGAACGAATTAGTCGATGTTGTCTCGAGTCTAATGGTACAGGGATATAGTTTTGAACTACTTGATGCAGAACATTTTTTTATTCCCACAGAATGGATAAAACTAATCTTAAGTGAAGTCAATAGAAAAATCAATGAAAAACAATTGCTTGTTCTATCAGTTCTTGGTGTACAAAGTTCGGGGAAATCCACGTTGCTGAACACAATGTTCGGATTCCAATTTCCTACCAGCTGTGGAAGATGCACAAGAGGAATACATATGAGGTTGGTTCCTCTTGTAAAAAGGAAAAATGAATTATCCACCGTACCATTTGATTATATTCTAGTAATTGATACCGAAGGTATAAGAGCGCCAGAATGTCTTGACACGCAAGAAACATATTACCAAAGAGACAATAAACTTTCAACAATAATAGTTGGTCTAGGAGATGTAACTATTCTAAATGTAATGGGCGAAAGTATTTCAGAAATGCATGATATTTTGCAAATTCTTGCACACGCATTCTTGCGCTTAAAACTAGCGAACAACAGTCTTGATATTCGCAAAAGCTGTTTTCTTATACATCAAAATGTTTCTGAGATGCAAGCTCCAATGAAGTTAAAAGCTGGTTTAACGCATGCTTTGCAAATTTTAGACAAAGCTACTAAAGAGGCTGCAGAATTCGAAGGCATATCCGACATAACAACGTTTCATGATGTTATAAAATTCGAAAGAGAGTCAAATGTATTTTACTTTCCGAATCTCTGGCATGGAAATCCGCCAATGGCAAGTATCAACCGGATGTATTGCGACCGAGTCAATGTTTTGACAACGAGACTATTTAAAGAATCTCTTCATGATCGAGGAAAATCCTTTAAAACTTTAGAAGATATCGCTACACATGTGCATGATCTATGGAAAGGTGTTTTAGCAGAAAATTTTATATTTTCTTTCCGTAATAACATTGAAAAAAAAGCTTACATAGAAATGGAAAAATTTATAAGGGATACATTTTGGTTGCTTGAAAGTTCTTTTGACGACGAGTCACTACAAATGGTTCAGAAAAGGTTTTCAAAATGTGACGATCATGACTCTTTAAAACGTACATTAGAAGAAATACCATTGTCAATTAAAGAGTTGATATCAAAACACAAGCAAAAGGCGTTCGATAAGATGGAAGTTTTTTTTCAAGGGAACAAATATAAGGAAATGCTAGTTAGATGGAAGGAGCAGTCATTGAATCGCTTAGACATGTTCTGTAAAATAATTGATGACAACAGAAATATGGAGATTGCCACTTTGTACAAAAAACGCAAGGTAGACATAATGATAACAATGATGTGTATAAAGCATAAAGATCAACTCAGAAGAAAATCACTTGAGCTTGCAAATGAGTTGCGTGCATCCGGAACAACGATTGACAAGAATGAGAAGATTGCAAGATTTGAACATATATGGGAAACCATTGTAACAGAATCATTAAGCTTTGTTAAAACCCAACCTGAAAAAAGTTCATTAAGAGATGACTGTATTTTCTTTCTTCATAATGTTTTTGGAAGTCAATCTGCTTTATTGAACCGTTTTCTAAAAGGTGATACATTTGATGAAGGACATGAATTAAAACATTTATCGGGATCATTTGTGAAAACCGAAATAGATATAAGTGATATAAGTATGTCAAAGAAAAAAATCGTTAAAAGTAAAAAAAATGAGAAAAATTCATCAGAAAAATTTGAGGAAAAATTGAAGCTAGTGCAATGTGCAACGGAAAATCTATTTCTGACAATTGACACAAGAGTAGAACTTACCTGCCAAAGGAATGAAATAATTACTAATCGAGATTTGAAACAAGTTTTGAATGACACTTTTAAGTCAGTTAAAGAAATCTCTACAAACCAAAGCCACCATTTCACAATGAAAATAACGTATCAGATAAAAGTTTTAGTGCATGTAAGTAAATATTTATGTAGACGTTTTGAAGCTGAGAATATAGAACATTTGCAGTCACATAGCATAACAGCACGTTTAGATACATATCGTAAACAGATGCAAGAGAGGTTCTTTGCGTATTTAGAGGAAAGAAAAGCTGAAGACACAGCAGTATGCTTAATGCATGGAATGATTGAAAACTTGCTAAGTGAGAATATTAAAGAGAATTTGACAAGGAAAGTAAAGTTTGTTTTAAAATTTACTTTACCACAACTGAAATATGATTTGCTCATTGCTATTCTGACTGAGCTTATGGAAAATGACGATTTTGACCAATTTAAATCTTACATTCTTAGCCCAAAAGATCATGCATATCTTTGGGTCAATCAAAAGGCAAAACGTTTTTTATTTTCACAGAGTACCGTAATGTATTCAGGAGTTGCAGAAAGAGAAATAACAAACTTATTTCAAGTTATCGAACACAATTTGAAAAAGAGTACCACAAATTTTCAAGACAACAAAGCGACAATAGAAAATTGGATTGAAACTTTTAAATCATTAAACGACACATTTACATTTCCAAACGATTGTTTTAATAATGTTGCAAGGGAATTTGAAAATTTAGAATGTATCCAGATTGTTGATTTTGTAAATAAAATCATTGACAAATTAGATCAAACAAAAGCATCGCTTATAGACATGTACAGAAATGTAACTGAAGAAACTATAAGATGGAATGGATGTAACCCAGTAGATAAATTATTTGAAGATATTTGGGGCTGTTCGGAGCAATGTATGTTTTGTGGAGAGCCCTGTATCAAAAGTAAACAGCATGATACGTGTCATATGTGTCTGCAGCACAGGCCTTTAGGAATATCAGGTGTTTTTGATGAAGGAACTGGAGATATATTTCTGACATCGTGTCATGTGAATGTAACAGGTGATGGAAATGTTCCGTGTACTTTTATTAACTTTCGATGCAATCCACAGAAAAGGAATGATTGCAAAGACAAAAGGCACAAATTTCAAGACTACAAATCAATAGTAAGTACATGGGATATTGAACCAGTTAGATTAATGGAAGATTGTTCGTTGTTTTGGATGTGGTTTATGGGGAAATATAAACAGCAGCTCGGTGAATATTATCACATAAACACAGAAAATATCCCATCGACGTGGAACGAAATTCAAGAGAAACGAGCTCTTGATAGTTTGTGTAACTTGCGTGCATCGAATATAGATCGGATTGGTTCGGTTTTAAAATAATTTTATAAACGACATGTTCATCCGTTTAAGAAATACAATCACTTTTTTTAAATATGCAGAATTATAATTATACATTCATTTAGCGGAATTACGCGAGTATGTGATGATATTTGAATTCATTTTAGACATAACAATTTCGCTCTGGATCTATATTTAATTTAGATTATGAAATCCGTTGTTGGTCATACAACTTATTTCAAACAAAGTAGTCTTTTTGGGTTTTGTGACTTGATTTTTTTCATAAAACACTATAGGGAGAATATCATATTCTCGAGTGAACTTAAAAATGTGCTACTAAAAAGGAACATCTTTGTGTTGAGCTATGGGAAATCTTGAAAAAAACATGGAGGTAGAATAGAGACATATTAATACTTTACAATTAACTATTTGAATTAAAATCTTATTCTTGTTAAGCATTAAAGTGGATCTGAGCAAAACAAAAAACAGGTATATCACAATATACAGTATGTCCCTTTCTTTAAGGTGTCAATTCATTTGACTGCTTATAAAATTGTTTTAGCGGACCATCTGCAATTATTACAAATGCAAGGAACAATGACATCATCAACACATAATTTCAGATTCGAAAACAAATATTGAGAGCTTTACTTTCACTCCTTAAATGAAATAATGTTCTGTAATGTTTGTGAACAATGAGAGGTTGTAAATTCATAGTCTTGGACTTGTGTTGTTATCATTCGCCTGGGCCATCAGCGGAAGGTTTGCAACATCTCCAAAGTCCCTTTACTAGATTTCTGATATATCCGTGGAGTTTCCACTTATACAATTGATACGTTTGAGCAATATATTTTGCAACACAAGTAATGTTTTGTTTTGCATTGATATATTACCAGTTTAGCCATTTTGTTTTAACCACTTATATATTTAGCTCAAGACTTTTTTGAGCAGCCAGAAAATTGACAAAAATCTGTAAGCAAAGTGATCCATCGGAAGCATTAATCACAGCAAAATTACAAGAGAATTACAGATTCGGTTTGATTGAGTCTGTACATGAGGGATAATGAATACGTGCAACATCCCTCACGTCTCCTAGCTTGAGCGGTACAATTCTCAACACTTAATAGTGCTGGCATCAATGATCCCGAAGGACCAGAAACATATAACAACACTGAAGTGAACTACGGGGCAACATTTTACAGCTGCCACACAGCACTTGACACCTGCTGTTGTGAAGTATAAAAATCTGGAAGCAAAGAGATCCCTCGGAAGCATTAATCACAGCAAAATAACAAGAGAATTGCAGACTCGGATTGATTGAGGATGTACATTAGGGATATTTAATACGTGTAACATCCCTCACGCCCCCTAGCACCGGCTTGAGCTGTACTCAATTCTAAATACTTAATAGTGCTGGCATCAATGATCCCGAAGGACCAGAAAAATATAACAACACTGAAGTGAAGTACGGGGCAACTTTTTACAGCTGCCACACAGCACTTGTATAAAAATCTGGATACAAAGTGATCCCTCGGAAGCATTTATCACCAGAAAATAACAATAGAATTGCAGACTCGGTTTGATTGATTCTGTACATGGAAAATAATGAATACGCGCATCATCCCTCACGCCCCCTAGCGCCGGCTTGTGCGGTACTCAATTCTCAACACTTAATAGTGCTGGCATCAAGGATCCCGAAGGACCAGAAAAATATAACAACACTGAAGTGAAGTACGAGGCAACTTTTTACAGCTGCCACACAGCACTTGACACCTGCTGTTGTGAAGTATAAAAATCTGGAAGCAAAGTGATCCCTCGGAAGCATTAATCACAGCAAAATAACAAGAGAATTGCAGACTCGGTTTGATTGAGTCTGTACAATGCATTATAAATGGTAATGATAAAATAACTTTACTGAAAATTCTAAAAAAGATAAAAATAAAAAAAAAATACATTTATTTTCTAACTTTTATGATACCACATGCATTTATCCCATTGACTGACGAACAGGTATTTCACAATTTTGGATAGAAATATACTGTAACAACATTATTTATAACGGTTATTATTGTGTTTTAAAGATTAAATTAAAAACATTGTAGGTGAAACAAATTCTTTTTTAAACGTTGTTTTGCATGTCACAAATAGATCAATTTAATATGATATACATTTATATTAATGATATCTAGTATTGCTTTTAATTGCAACGTTCATATTTTCATGGATTTTGTATTATTACATCTATATAAGTTAAATATTTTCATCTTTTAAATACTTTTTAAAAATGATAAAATAACTTTACTGAAAATTCTTAAAAAGATAAAAATATAAAAAAACATTTATTTTCTAACTTTTATGATACCACATGTTTTTGTCCTATTGATGCCTGACGAACAAGTATTTATGATGTTCACAATTTTGGATAGAAATATACTGTAACAACATTATTAATAATTGATATTATTGTGTTTTAAAGATTAATTTTGAAAATTTGTTGGTGAAATATTTATACAAAGTCTTTTTTACGTTGTTTTGCTTGTTACAAATACATCAATTTATTATGATATACATTAATATTAGAGATACCTTGAAGTTGTTTTTAATTGCAACGTTCATATTTTCATTGGTTTTGTATTATTACATCTATATTATTAGTTATAAAGATTGTTGACAGGTTATATGGCCCTATATAAACGGCTGTTTGTAAATATAACCCGAGCCGCTAGGCGAGGGTTATATTGCAAACAGCCGTTTATATACGGCCATATAACCTATCAACAATCTTTATAACGAATTTATATAATACAGCAAACATCATTTTTTAGAGAAAGAAGTAAGATTTCTTCATTAATCGACAACAGCCGTGTATATAAAACTATATAAACGTCAAGATTATCCAATGAAAAGCGACATTACAAACGTGCAGTATTATAAAAGTGAAAATATTTACATCTTTTAAACAACTTTTGGTAATTTATTTACTTGATTAACTGTTATACATGTAGTTAATATCAATTGCTAATTTGAAACTAGTTTAAAGTTGTTTTATTAAAGAATAATCTATGTGTGACAATACTCCACCTTACTTTGTATATAAAATATCCAAAATTGTTGGATTTTAGACATTGTTGAGTGGTGATGCACTTTATTGCATTTTTGAATTAAAATCTTATTCTTGTCAAACATTGTAGTGGACCGGAGCAAAATGAAATACAGAAATAACACAATATAGAGCTCGAGTCTGTTCTTTCTGTGAATTGCCAAATCATTTAACAGCTTACAAAATTGTTTTAGTAGACCATCTGCAATTGTAACAAATGCAAGGAACATTGACTTCATCAACAACACACAAGTTTGGATTCGAAAATAAAATGTTTAAATGCTTTAATTTCAATCCGTAAAAAGATTGTTTGTCCTGTACGATTGCATACGATAAGAGATTGTAATTTTATGATTTTTTGATGTTGTCTTGGTCATAGAGGGAAAGTTTGCAACATTTCCAAAGACTCTTTACTACATTTCTGATATATCTGTGGGTTTACACTTATGAAACAAAGTAAATGAGATTTATATCAATTAATTATTATATTATTATATAATTGATACGTTTGTGCAAGATATATAAAGTGATTTTATTTGCATTGATATATAAGGAAATTTGCCATTTTGTATCAGCAACTTATAATATCAACGCAAGACTGTTTTTATGAATATTTAGAAAATCAACAATGGATTTTAAATGTTTATAATAAAATGACTTAAGCTGAAATTTAAAAAAAAAAGGCAAAAAGAAAAATACATTGATTTTCCAATTTATAAGGTACCCGTTTGCTGACGAACAGTTATTTTATAATGTTAACAAGTTTGGATAAAAATATAATTTAATGATATTATTAATAATTGATATTTCTGTGTTTTAAAGATAATTTTGTAAATTTGTAAGTGAAATATTTATACAAAGACATTTTGATACTTTGCTTGTCACCATTATATTTGTAAATGATATACAGTTATATTATAGATATTTAGAATTTGCTGTTAATTAGAATGTACAAATTTTCATGTTTTATTTTTGTTTGTTTTTTTGTTGTTTTTTTTTTTGTATTTTTTAATATGATATACATTTATATTAGAGATATCTAGTAGTTGCTTTTAATTGGAATGTGCATATTTTCATGTTGTTTTTGTATTTTTTTACTTTTTTTTAAGTTATTTATACTTTTCTAAAAAGCCTTTTGGATATTTATTTACTTGATTAACTGTTATACTTAATATATCAATTGTTTATTTGAAAACAGTTTAGATCTGTTTTATTAAAGATTAATCCAAGTGTGACAATTCTCAAACTTACTTTGTATATATAATATCAAACATTGTTGGTTTTTAGCTCGACTAATCGCAGAACAATCGAGGTAATGCAGTCACCCATTTGTCGGCGTCGGCGTCCCTGTGGTTAAGTTTTTGCGTGTAAGCTGGTATCTCCATAACTACTGAAGGGAATGGATTAAAACTTCATACACTTGTTCTCCTTGATTATCTAACATGATTGGCACAAGTCCCATAACTCTGATTTGCTTTTATGCATAATTATACCCCTTTTTCGACTTAGAAATGCTTGATTAGGTTTTTTCATGTAATCAAGTATCTCCATAACTATTGAAGGGTTTGTGCCTTTTTTGTAACAATTTAATGCGTTCATAATAATAAAGCAGTGATTAACTGGATAAAACATCTTAACAACAAGCCTTGTACCTTTTCGGACAATTTTATGTATTCATATAGGTAAGCATTTTTATACTCAATGAAACACCCTTGTGACAACTTTTCGAATAGTCGAGCGTTACTGTACCCCGACATTTCTTATTAGATATTGTTGAGTGTTATTGCATTTTATGACATTTTTTAATTAAAATCTTATTTTTGCCAATCATTGTAGTGGACCGGAGCAAAACGATATACAGAAATAACACAATATACAGCCTGACCCTATCTACGAATTGTCAAATCATTTGACAGCTTGTTTAGGCAAAACATCAGCACTT